CACCGGTTATGCGTGTATGTGTGTGTGGCTAGCTTTGAGCGAAATGGCAACAACAACTCAACACACACAAACACACACACGTATATAGGCAACTGCAAGTGTGGAATTTAGCTGTCCAACTCCTTTCACCCACTCAAAGAGCTGCCACATGCTGAATAATAGGGCAACCAGCGTTGCCACAGATCACAAATTGTGATTTCTGTGCAATTTGCAGCAAGATTTATGGGAGAAAGTACAGCAAAAACAGGAAGCATGAGAATTCAAAAAAACAGAGTGAGAAATGTAAGGTAAGAAAAATATAAATAAAAGGTGAGCCCATTGATGGTTATGTATGTCATTCTGGCTGCTTACAAAGAACCGATCTTGGCAGATAAAAGAACTACTCTCCGAAAGTGGAGCATGAGATCTGAAAAAGGCAAAGCTGACATTAACAAGTTTAACCGAGCTGCAAACCTGATTTTTTTATCACAATTTTACCTTTCCACTCATTTTCCGCGTGCGGAATGAGTTGGAATATCGATAAATTACATGTGGAATAGTTGAAAACTAACGTCACAAAATGTGAATTCACAAACAAATTGATAAAAAGAAGTTTTCTATAATCAGAAAGCTAAAGATAAGAAAAAAAAATGCTTCTTCACATTCCAAACGTATCTCAAACAGTTTTTTATCTTAAAAAATAAGAGAGAAAAGGTTTATATCTAGCCATAAGACTAAGAATTCTAGAAACATCTGGTCTGTACTTGACGTTCCCATTGATTACAATACGAAAGATTAACGATCAGATGGCAGATTAAACGAGTTATGAATGATTGCCGGGGAAAATCCGCGAGTGACCATAAAAACCCAAACTGAATCGTTTTCTATGAGCACGCAAAGCTGTTGACGGATGACTAATAATGCCTGCCCCCCCCCCCCCCCCACACACCTACGAGTTATTGGAGTGCTATTTTTAGGGTGGTAAACCTGATGGTACCTCAAAGAAACTAGCACAAATTGCGGTTTACTTCTTATCGAGAGGGCTCGAAAAGAATTCCAAATAAAATAAAAAACAGTTTATTTTTATTCAGCCCGCACCTCGAACACACACACACACACACACACACACACACACGCACATGCACAGAGCAAAAATAATACTAGAACCGAAAACAGTTCCAAAAGTATTTAAACGTATTATCACGATAAAAGCCAAGCGAATAGAGGGCCGAGGCAAAACAGGCGAAAAACAACAACAATATGCCAAAAATAAATAAAACAAAAATACGAAAAAAAATTGTTCCAGCAACGACAACAAAAGCAGCTAGAGAAATACAAACAACAATTTATAAGTCGCAATAAGCGAAAAGCAAATAAAAATAAAAACTAAATAAAAGCAAAGGGAAAACAAAAATAAAATGTTAACTTAAAGGGGGAGAGGGCGAAAGGCGGAGAGAGAGGAAGGGAGGGGCAAATAATTAGGGGGTAATTGTAATTGGCTGAGAGACTCGCTCGAGAAACAAAAACCAAAAAAAAAAAAGGGCTGTAACAACAAAAGCTGAGCGTTATCTGCGACTGCCCAATCTCAAAGTTGATTTGTTTTTATCTAGATTGTTTTTATTATCTTCAATTTAAGATACTTTTGAGGGCACAACAAATATTAGTCGGTTTAATATATATATAAAAACGCACCGAAAAGTGGACTTTATAAGTCTGAGTAGTTTGTTTGGGATGCTTTAAAATATTTTGAATGTAAATCAAACTAAATATCCTTAGGGGAATTACAAATAGTTCAATTCAGAGAAAATTATACTGAGTAGGTGATGTCAGGCATATAGATAAATCTCTTTAAGAAGCAATCAATTTCTTAAGGGATTCTCTTGACTCATAAATACGATCAAGTTTCATTTAGAAAAAGATTCCCCTAAAAAGTCTTTTATTGCCTAATTCCACTATCAACATTTCTTAAATTTTTTGCGAATGTGAAGTATGTTGCGAATGTGAAGTAGGTTGCCTGTACGTTTTCCCACAAGAAACCCAATTTTTTTACATTTGCTTAGCGGAACTTTGGACATTCACATGTTACCGACAACTGACACTTGCTAATGGAGTCGCAGAATGTGAAGTTTTTTTAGAAACAGACTAAATTCCCAAAATACCTAGTTACGATAAGTTATCGATAACATTATCGATCCTTAAGCAAAAGCAGTGTTTGAAAACGAATCTTTACAGGAAATTTAATGCGACAGATAAGATGCATCTAAAAGTATGCATATATGATAGTAAATGCTTTTTTGACATCTTCTGCTAAATAATTTAGTCATAGAAAAATGCCAGAATCTACCGTTAATACTGGCTAGTACGTGTGCATTTGCGAGTGTGATATCAGAAAAGAAGAACTCCACTAAAACAAAAGCGAAAACAGCAAAACAAATAATCAAAAGCAAAGCGTAGAAAAGATAATAAATAAAAGAGAAACAAAAAGCAGAATTTCAATTGATAGTCAAAACGAGAAAGTAAAGATATCTGCGGCACGACGAAGACTTAATACCCTTGGAAACATTTGCCTTATGCTTTTGGAGATATGTGAGAATAGCGAATGCTGGGAAATGTTCGATCCTATGGAAACGATCGTTCCTAAGGCAGCTGATATCATATAGTGTCACGATTCGGCCGGTTCTGACATATGTAATGCCTGCAACAGTAAGACGGATCTAGGTAAGGTTTCAAGACGAAAACTTTAAAACTGAGCGACGGGTTTGTATAGAAACAGACGAACAGACGAATGTGGATATACTTGGCGACTTGCAGTTGCAGATCTAGAATAAATACTCTTGGGTCGGAGAACATTTTTATACCCTCCCCAAGGGCATAGAAAAGGAAGGGGCAATGAAAACATCAACAAACTGACTTTAAAGGCAAGAGAAGCAGAAACGTCTTTGAGCTGGCAAAGTAATCAGAGCCAAACAGCGAGAGAATGTCAGAGAGAGAGAGAAACATGTAGACATGAAAGGAGAAGCGAAGAAGAAGAGATGGAAAAGAGAAGAAGATGATAAGCGTCTGGGTTTTCACACGCGCCCCAAAACAAACCCATTCGGGGTGTTGGGAGGGAGAGCAGCAGCAAAAAAAAATGTTGATGGGCAACGCCAAAGCGAACAATTGGAGCCAAGTGACAACAACAACAGCAGAAACAACAACAACAAGAATAATAACAGCAACAACAAAAACAACAATAAAACATCGCCAGAATTTCGCATGGTTTCTCGTCGCGTTTATTGTTTGATTATCAATAGAACGAAATGCCGAATGGTAGGGAATAAAATATAATGCGAGGTACGCCTGATAAGCGACAAATGAAAAGAGAGAGAAGGGAGAAGAGACGAAAAAGAAGGGAAAATAAAAGAAGAGGAGAATATACAAAAAAGTACAGGGCAACAAATAAAAAATGAAATATAATCTTAATAAATTGTTGTGTCCAGGCGCCGTTTGTGTATTCGATAAACCGATAACGATAACAATAAATCATAAATTATTGTCTCCAGGCGCAATTTGTCTTTTCGATAAACCGATAACGATAACTGGCATAATTTAGCCAGGGCAAGGCGCACACCCATCATTTCCCACATAAACGCGGCAATTCTTGGAAAAAGTCGAATATTTATTTCATATTTAATGGATCATGCAACAAATGCGCGCTACGTAATGCCCTTATTTTTAGATACCCAATCGAATAGGGGGAATATGGGGGAAACTAGAAAGAAATATTTGAATTGAACTCAAGCGTAAAGTCGAATGTATATATATTTATATATACTTGTCTAGATCTGTCTGGGAATGTTGCTATTCAATATCTTTTTGAACAAAAAAACCCAGTTGAAGGTCGCCCTGGTGCAAAGTATATCAAAGAAAGTTGAGTGCATCGCGTTTTATTGGAATGTACACGACATTTGCCCATAGATAATTTCACGAATTAGATGATGAAATAGTCCATAATGAATGCATCAGATATTGTTGCCGGATGGAAGCGGAACTTGTTCCATTTGTCTATTTCGATTTGCTGCATAAGATTCATTTGAGTGTGCAAATTACTAGAAATAAATAAAGTCAACATCTTGTAGAGTTTATTATACCCCAAACCCATTGAAGGTGGGTAAAAAAGGGTATTTTGGATTCGTGCAAATGTATGTAACGGGCAGAAGAAAACATCTTCGACTCCATAGATTATACATATTCTTGATCTGCATCAAGAAAAGGGTCGATCTATCGAGACTTGTGTTTGAACGCAACGATATGTGAACCTATAAGATCTAGAAACTTAGGTCCTTCTAGTGCCCGCGCAGTACGAATTTGTTTCCGATAACTTTCCCCGTTTTTAAGCAATCGATAAAAATCCATATCGAATAACTGTATTTTTCAGCAAATCTCTTAGGTTTCAAGAGCTAGAGTCACCAAATTTGAGTAACTCCAAGTTACTTCTTGAATATTATATATAGATCAAGTATCTTTCATTTGATGGCTATCGTAATTCTTATTGCTGCATTTGCTGTTGGTAGAAGAAGGTTTAGAGTATCCCCTAGTCGGGCACTCCCGACTAAAGTACTCCTACTTGTTTCTCTTAGTTTTGTCTAAAGGAAACCCAAACTTAATGTTCGACTGATATTTTCTTTGGGTCCTATATGATATATTGATTCATTACATCTGTTCTGTATCCCAGTTTAATCGCTCCTGATTTAAAATTTCATATATATTCTGTTTTTTTATAGGAACTTATGATAGTTGCTGCTATATTAAATAGATATTCATTTCAGACAATTTATGAAAAATACCTATTTCTATTCTTCTTCCTCTCAGCTTTATCACTCACAACAACTTGTTGACTACAAATTGTGATTCTTAATTCAAGACTTTAGAAAAAGTTGATAGGCAAAACAAATTTGTTATTCAGTTCCCTATTTAGAACTAACATATTATTCAGTTCCCTTTGGGAACTATTATATAATTGATCTTAATTGGAAACTCACCTGTTTCGCGCTTTCGCTTGCTGTTGGCCGCTGCTCCAGACTTGGACGACGTTTTCTGCTGCTGCTGCTGCTGTTGTTGTTGCTGCTGCTGCTGTTCTTCCTCTTGTTGCTGATGATGATGTTGATAATGTTGTTGATGATGATGATGATGATGTTGTTGTTCTTGCTCTTGCGAGTGCTGCCCGATGATGACACTGCGCTGACGCGGCTGCCTCGTGTCCGAGTCGAGAAAGACAATGGGCTTCAGATCGCAGCTGATGCCAATGCTAACCTGTTTGGCAGTTGGCTTTACGTCCAGCACATCCACAGTGGCTGAACCGCTGGCGGAACCGTAACCGGAACCGGAACTGGGAGCGGCAACGACGACGAAATCGGACGCGTGTGAAGGATGCGACGTTCTCATTGGCGCATGCGAATTCTTAAAACGATCCTCTGGTGCTCTCTATATATGTTTCTTGTTCTCTCGCTCTCTCTCTCTCCCTCTCTCTTTCTCTTGTATCGCTGTTTCGCTTTGGCTTGGTTCGCAATTGGTTGCAAGCTCGTGTTTGTTTTTATTTCTCCTTATATGGTTTTTTTCTCTTGTATTTCCAATTCGCTTCTAATTGGATTTGATTCGTTTTGGTTGGTCTTGTTGTTGTTGTTGTTGTTGTTGTTGTTGTTGTTGTTGTTGTTGTTGTTGTTGCTCTTTCGGCTCAATATTCTTCTTGTTCTTACAATTTAGTTTACTGTACAAAAAGTGACGTTTACAATTGAAACGTGACCAAAGAAAATGTTGACTGGTCTCGCCTTTTACATATCAATTGTTGAGGAATTAATATTTACAAAATTTCATAATTTTTTTTTTTTTTGACAATTTATGTTAAATTAAAAGAGAATCTGCAAGAAGAAGAAATAAGTTGATTAGCGACATTTCACTAAGAGTTAAGCCGTAAAATAAAGCACTCTAATTCGATTTCCAATTGGGGTTGAATTGGAACTAAATGCCAAGTTTTCGCATACATTAACCAACACTGGTCACTATTTTCGCTGGATTTTCGAAAATTTCCATTGGCATCTTTTGTGTGCAAAACAACAACAATAAAATTAACGTTGCCAGACGCCAATTTGTGGTTTTTGTTTTTATCTTTTTTTTCTATTCGGGGCGGCGCACAGTGGGTCGAATGTGTGGAAAGACGATGGGCATTTAATATGTTTATTAAATTTGATCAAGCCGAAGATAAGGATTAAAAAAATAATTAAATATTTAATAAATAATAAGTATTGAAATATATATAATTCGTACACAGATTATTTACCATAAATACGTTATATATTATAACTATATTGGAAAAACTTTTAAAGTTTTAATAAATATATAACTTCATATTTATTTTTGACATTTTTTTTAATTGAAATGGAACGGGCTAATATATCGATAATTATCGATACCTTGCAGCTGCAAATTCTTTAGATACGCTAGTTCAAGGTTATTTAACCCAGGTCTCGTTTTTTTTGGGAATCTAAAGTTCAATTTTTGACCACTGTGCGGCGTTTTATTTGAGAACCGTTCTGGGTGACTGCCTGTGTGTGTGCGTGTGTGTGTGTGTTTGTCGTGCCGAAATATAAAACTACGCAAAAACTATAAAAACATGCGCCAACAACAGCAAAGCAGCGTAGCATAAAAGCAATAACAAATTCATAGATTACGCACAAGGGAGCGAGCGAAAGAGAAAGAGAGAACATTCACGCACACACACACACACACGTAAAGTGAACTTTTTGCTACGCACTTTGCGTTGGAACGCATGGCAAAGATGTTCTTGGAACTTTTGAAGCGTTTTGCGTTAAAAAAAAATTGTCCAATTGGCAACTTTCGTTTGAAGTTGTGCGTGTGCGAGCGTTAAAAACAAAATTAACAACTTGTTGGGCTGGGCAGAGGGGTTTGGGGTGAGGAACACACGAAAAATAATGAATATGTGCGGCGAGAAAACAAAAATTAATGCAAACAAAAAGCCGGTTCTCAAACACACACACACACACACACATAGTCATAAAAGCGAGAAAAAGTTGCAAAGATGCTGCTAACGTTGACGTCGACGCCGCTGCCCGTAAGAGAGAGCAAGGAGTTGCAGCTGCCGCGATGGCAAGCATAACAAACAAATGTGCGCACAAACACACACACACAGCAGAAGGCAGGCAGCGCCACATCGACCGGCGCAGACGTCAACAACAAAATTCAAGAAGAAGAAGCAGCAGCAGACCGCGACAGAGCAGCGAATTTAAAGCTGCGAGGCGGCAGCGCACGAACCTCGCAGTTAACGTCCAACACACAAAACGGCAAAACGAGTTTTTTGTTGTTGTTGTTTAGTTTGTTTTTGTTATTTGCGAGTTGGGCGAGTCGCAAACAACAACAACAGCAAATGTATTTGTATGTATTAATAAATTGAATTTATTTGCAAATTGCGACACTTTTTTGAAGTTTTCGCACACTCACACACACACACACACACGCAGTTAGCGCTGTGAGAGCGAATTGCCAAATATGTTTGATATGCACACAAAAAAGTGTTGCTAAACGTTTTGCAGTCTATCACCTTTTGCTGCAGCCGCTGCTCAAGCGAGGACGAGAGCTTTTCCTATTAAATTTGTTGAATTTTTTCTTTAATATTTAACTTTTGGCTGCCGCGTGAAACGTCTGCTTAGGCCGCCGTTTGCTGAGACTCTGCCAGTGCTGCAGCTGCTGAAGGCTGCGGCGTTGCTGGCTTTCGTTGTTGGGCGCCTGCGCAAGCGCCGGCAGCGGCAGAGCGTTCACGCTCTCTCTCTCTCTCTCTCACTCTCTCCCACTCATTCTTTGGCGCTGTTCAGGCTCTGCCCGGGGGACTCGCGAAATCGTCGCTTTGCTGACGTGGGCGCGCCACCTTGGGCGCTGGCAGGGGGCTGCTGAAGGGGGAGGGACTGACTGACTGCCTGCCCGCCTGCTTATTTCAACAGACACGTAAGGATTTACGTAGTTGGCCAAAAGGCGCGGAGTGGATTACGAGCGCGTCAGAAATAGTTTCTTTTGCACAATCAACGACAAGGCTCAATGAGGAAGGACAGGAGATGGGGGAGGGTCGGTGGTGATAAGGAGAAGGGTTGCAGCTGGTGCGAGGTAGAGGCAGGTCGAGGGTCTGTTGGCCGGCGGCAAAACGCGAAACTTGCGTCGTGGGCAGACTTAATTCCACACACACACACAACTAATACACACGTATGTGTAGGTGTCTGTGTGTGTGTTGTGCGTGTATTCCATATTTTTAGCTCGGAATATGGCACAGTTACATTTCTAAAGACGCAAAAGGATTGGGGCAGGGCACTGGGACGTCCCCTCCCACTGAACCAGGTAAGCATATGGCTGACATATATGTGTGAATTATGTATTTATGTATGTGTACATATTCTTGTATGCATATTGTATGTGTATAAGAAAGTTTTTGGAACGCAGTCAAAGGATTAGTCAACTTTCTGGTAGTCAGAAAGGGAAGGAGGATGCGGGGGACTAGGAACTTCTGCTGTCAACTAGCTGGCATTAAGCGGCTTTGCCCGCTCAACAGTTTTGTTTTTAACATTTAAATAGTGTTTATTCGATATCCACGCATTTTTCACTGCTTGGGGTGGATTTTTCAATATTAGTGAAACATATCAATTATGATTCTTCACATAGATTTAGGAAAATGAGTTGAAAGCCGATATTATCTTTAGAATATTACATTTTTTGTATCTATACTAGAATTATCGATTTGGAGTAGGAATTAATATATTTAAATATATTTTCAGTAAATAATGGAATGTAACCACTGTGCTAGTTTATTTTTAATACTTCTTTATAATATTTGCATGCCTTACAACACTTTAAAGCAGTTGCATGTAATCTAAACACCAGCTTGAGCCCCAATTAGTGGCCAGCAACCAACCACCCGCCCACCTGGGCAACCCCCCCCCCCCCCCCCCCTTTTGAGATCACCTTTGGCAAGTTCTCGAACAGCTGTCGTGTCGGTTGGTTGTTTGGTTGACAGCTTGCGGTTCCTTGAATTTCACTTAAGGTTTCCCCCACGTTTTGACGACTAATTGACAAGTGTGGGTGATAAAGAGAGAGAGAGAGAGAGCAGGAAGAGAGTGGGAATAGTAGTTGCTCTCTTGGCTGAATTAAAGTTGTGCAACAATTTCATTTGCCTTTAAATCTTAGTGCAAAGTCGACGCAGGCAGCGGCAGCGGCAGCGACTGCAGCAGCTCTGTCGACGTGAACGCGCAAGCAGCAAATGGTTTTCAGTATCCTTTGCATGAATGACACACACGTCTATCAAGCGCTCTCTCTGCTCTCTTGCTCTCTGACTCAAAACTGTTCTCACGCGCACCGGCGACGCTGGCGGCGTTTCTTTGATGTTTATGATGACGCAGCGCTAGGCAGAAAGACACACATATGCACACATACACTTAAATGCATATGTATATGCCTTACGCAGGCTTCGCAACAACAAATTGTGAATGAATATTAACGGTCTGGAATTATATTAGAATGAACTACAACAATAACAAACACAGGGTGATGTTGGTTGGAAGAAGAAGAGCGTCAGGCGGCGCCCGCATTTGCCAGCCATATGGAAAGTTGGCATTTTTCCTGACGCGCAATATGGAAAAGTACACAAAAGCTAAAGGCATTTAAAAAAATAATAATACAATTTATTTTGACTATCAAGGGGCAGTTCGCCCTCATACATACACACACCCTGTCATCACCCTGTATTCCAATTGTTGTTAAAAAGACAAATTAAACACAAATGCTGAATACATACAACAAAGTTCGTGGCAAAAACAAGTTAAAAATGCAATTGAAAACGTGTATAAAACGCGCTCTCTCGCTCGCACACACACTCACACATACACACGCAAGCACGCTACGTGCGCTACTTTGAGTTCATCGTTTTCAATTCATTTTGAGTTTCTCTCGTGGCTGCTGCTTGCCACAGAAACAAACCACTCAAACCCACACACACACAGACACACACACAGACACACACATGCACATACACGAGCACAGTCACTCAACGCTTAAACGTATTTGTGCTTACTTTTCATTATATATATTTTTTTTGTTGATGTGCGCGGAGAAAAGGAAGGGAAAAAACAAGCATTCACACTGCGCGCAAACACTTGGGCCGCATTACGTTTGGCGAACAGAAAATTTGGGAATTTTATAGAAAGTGCAATTGAATTTGCGTTATTAAAACACTCGCCATGTTGCGCTCGCTGGCTCTTTTTTACACACACGCACGCATGAGACACAATGAAAACTTTATTTCTTCTATTTTTTCCACACTTTTCCACGAGCCCGTAGAACGAGCGACTTGGCGTACGCGTTGTTCAGAGAGTTTTAGTAGACTGGGTGGGCCAGTGTACTCGTGTGAGCAGAATGTGCAAAAATACCAAATTCGAATGCACCAATAAATGCCATGAATTGAAAAATACTAAAAGATATGCTAGAGTGTGTGCAATTTTCACGCTGGTCACACTCGTTTAAAAGTGGTACTAAATATGGCCATGCATATGACTGGCATTATTTGGCGCGCTTTTTGAAATCTACAATTAAACTCATTTTTAAGGCTAATTGTTAATTTACATTTGTTGAATACAATTAAATGACTAGCATATGGTAGCAAATGGAATGTTTGCCTAAAGAAAAGCACAAGGCGTGCCAATTTCCTGCCCAAAAGCAGCAGCGAGCTCCACGCCTCCAACCCCGCCGCTGGCTTCCTCCTACATGGTGCTGTCCAGCATGTCCACCAGGCGTTTGATCTCCCGACTTTGAACGAAAACTAGGGATAGATAGTTTGCGAGATGACTGAAAGTTGTGCCCGGACTTACATGCGTTGGCTGAGCTTCTCGGTGGGCCGCATCGACTTGGATATCTCCTCGGTCTTGGCCAGCAGCTGATACTGGCACTTGATGTTCGCGTCCAGGGCATCCGTGAGCTTCTTCACCGCATTCTTGTGCACCTCCACATTGTCCGCCGTGATGGAGCTGATCGAGTGCAGCAGATTGCCCAGATTCTCCATCAGATTGTCCACCGAGGTGGCCAAATACTGTGCCTCCAGCTCAATGTCGCTCAGCACATTGCCGTCCACCTCGGGCACGTTGCGTGATTGCAGGAAACGCGAAATTGGCGCCGTCGACAGGGAGGGCGTTGTGTGCTCTGAGTTGTTGTGGTCCGTGGCAGCGCGCAGCTTCGACTCCAGATTGTGGGCCACAAAATGATGCATGGCGCCGGTGCTGCTGGTGGCGATAGCGCCCTCCAGCTCATAGGGAAATGCTGCGGAGTTGGTGAGAGGTAGATTCGGGCGTGAAATATCGAAATTTACTCACTGGATTGCAGCGACTTGGGTCGACTTGTGGGCTTGCTCGGCTCGTTGGAGCTGTCCTTTGAGTTGCTGTTGCTGGGATCCTCCTCGTCCTCATCGTCGTCGTCGTCGTTGTCGTCATCCTCGCCCGAGTCCAGATTCATGTAGCTCTCGTTGCCCGGTGGCGGCACTTTGCTGGCCGTGGGCGTTAGGTCCTGCAGCACGTGATCGGGCACTGGACCCGCGTACTGTGCCAGAAAGGGTATCTCCGAGTAGGAGGCAGGCGTGCCACAGGCGTTGTTCCTCTGCTGCAGTTTGTGGCTGGTGGAAGCGTCCTCGCCGCCGGCCTCGTCCACGTAGCCGTAGCGCGGCCGTATGGGTATGTCCTGGCTGCGACGCGACATTGCAACAATATCAATAATAATGGTTAATTAAGTAAAAATGCAGCAGCTCAATTCTTTGTTTGTTATGCTGCTTGTTACAGTTCAGTGTAACGATAGCAAAAACTATCAACTATCGTTTAGTACAGATACGATTACAGTTCAATGTGACTATCGCATTGAAATCAAACGATATGAGTTCAAAGTTATAATTAAGCAAGTTCTTCAGTGTCATGTTGTAGCCGAAAATAAGAAACTGCATTAAGCAACGCTGTAGTTTTTAAAAGCAACTACAAAGAGTAATTAATTGAAGCGATACACAAAACGCTCACTGCCATCGATAGTATCGCTTAAATGCATGCACCTTGCACTTATCGATGTGTACACGATATTAACATCCCTAATTTTTACCATAAACAAAAACAACGTTGAGCGGTTTGGACGCGTCGCGGTCGGTTTTCGCGTCGTTGTGTTATATTTTCAAACAAATGGCCGCCGACGCGTGTGCTTCGGCAAAAAAGTGTTAAATGTTTTATAAATGTAATAGTGTATCAACGTTTGATCAGTGTGCGCCAGCCGTGTGCAGCGTTTAATTTTTATTGTTTGAAAATTGTAAATGAAACAGCGGTAAATAACAAAGCACCGTTTGCATAAATGTGCAAGTGTGTGTTGGAGTCATTTTTTGTGTGCGTGTGTTAAGTGTCCGACAAAGTGCATGTGCACGGAAATAAAGTGCCGCAAACGCCAAGTAAAACAGATGAAATAATATTTTGCAATGTCTGTGTGTAAATTGCAAGCGCATCAAGCTGATAAATGTGCTAAAATTAAAGCATAAAACAACCCGAGCAACTAGCAGGTATCGATACACACACACACACACACACATACATACAGAAAAAACCGACGGCGAATGCAGTGCGTGTGCAATTGTGTATGTGAGGGCGACAAATTCGCTCTGTGTATGTGTGCGCGAGTAAAAGAAAAGAAGCAAACCTGCGTTTGCGTTTGCTTTTGCATTCGATTTTGCGCCTTACATGTGCGCTCGTCCCGGGGTTCAAATTCCAATTGGAATTTACAAGTTGCGCATGCGTCGCCGCATTCTTAAATCTCGTGTAGTGTATTGTTTGTGTGTGTTTGTAATAAATCATTCAGTCACTCAACAAGCGGCAGCTGCTGCAACAACAACGCTAAGGTAAGCCAAAAAGCTACACTTGCTAAAAAAAAGCCAAAAAAAAGAATTTTACGAGAGCGCCTTAAATTAATTTACGTTCCATGCGCTCACTGGAAGAGAGCGAATGCAGCAAAAAAAAAACTTCACTTGTGCATGCGTGTGTGTAGGTTTTGCCTGCTACTCTTTACTCTGGCATTTGGTTCTTTGGCTTTTCTTTTCTATTTTGCTGCTGCGGCCAACTTTTGTTCTGGCTGCTTTGCCAGTTACGCTTATTCGCTTGTTTTGTGCTTTACGCCATTGTCTTGGCATTCGCTTGGGCAGCCGCCGCTGCTGCTTCTGATTCTGCTGCTGCTGCTGCTGCGCTTGCAGTGAATCGTAATCGTAAATGGACGCATTCAGCTGGCAAAACTTCGTTCAGTTTTTCTAACCTGCAAATGGGATATGATGCACACATTTATAACTAAAACAAGTGAATACACATATATAAATTTAATTATTAGTGAAAAGCTCATATGCAATTAATTTTATTTAATAAACTTTAATTTTGCTATATACACGCTTTATCAATCAGAAGTTTCGTTCAATAATTTATTGCTTTTCTTGCTCTATTTATGTTTCAATTTCATTTCGCTTTGCCTCTCTTCGCTCGTGTGTGTTTGTGTGTGTGTGTGCTTTACTGCTGCTTTTGCTATCTACCGTTATGTTCGATTGCGATTTCGTAATAACTTTGAATTTGCCCGACCGCCGACTGCGATAATATTCATTCGCTTGCTCTCTCTCACACATACACACTTGCACTTATAAGTGCGCCTGCTGTCTGTGTATTTGTGTTTGCTCTTGTTGCGCTTGTTGTTGTTGCTTTTGTTGTTATGCGTGGGCTGCGCTTTATTTATCTGTCTTTCCATCAATCGACTGATATCGGGCAGAGTGCGGGGGCCGCAACAGCAATTGCAGCGATTGATTTTAAAGTTGATGTAATAAAATATTCATGAAAAGTGCACAACACTTAAAAAAAGAGGAAAAAGGTAGATAGTAGATGTGTAAGTAACGGTTGATATATTATGTTCGATAATATTGCGGCGAACTCTCAAGGGCGATGTGTGCACGTGCATGTGTGTACAGTGGACGCTCGCTGCAGATAATTCCAATAAGATTATAAATTGTGCAAGTTTTAATTCACAATATATACCAATAAGAATATTATATTCTGAATAGTTCTAATCTTGTCGGCTTTAATTATTGAGTGGCCACTGTTTTGATTTAATTTGTTTGTTTGTTTTCCCAAATATTATCTTGTTCCCTGTTTTGACAGTTATTGTTTATACATTTCTGTTATATTTGGGCTATTAACTGTAACACTCTTATATTGTTTCACATTGATTTCACCCACATCACTTCACACACACACACACACACACACACACTTTGCTTCATTAATGATCCTGCTGAGTTCCACTATAAACAAAAAAAAAACAAAATAAGTGTTTTCCTTTCCAGCTCGCACTTCACATTTGTTTGTTTATGTTTTTTTCGCATATTATTTACATGTATGCCGTTTAGCCGCTAGAGGGCGCCACTTGAGCAAAAGTGTTGCGCTCTTCTACCACTTTGTGTGTTGAGAGCATGAGAACTGGAAGCGGCTTTCCAGTGCCAGTAAAGTCACTTTCCAAAGAATGCCCTTTTGTACCTATGAGTATCATGGATCTCCACACAAGCTGCAACGGCTTTAATATTGCTTTTGATGTTTTTGTTTTGAATGTTGTTGCTGTTGTTGTTGTTCTTCGCTTTGCGGTACTTTCAATGGGCGCCTCGCTTTTGACCTGGTGACCCAGCAGACAACAGATTCGTTTAGCGTTTAAGGCGATTTCGACAAAAGTGCAAAAACTTGGCTGAATGAGCGAGTGAGAGAGAGAGAGAGGGAGGGAGAGAGAGGCGATGCCTTGCGGCCGATTAAAAGCGCGTCTTAATGCGATTTGCATTTCGTTATATGCCATGGCCTAAACGGGTCGTGGCTGGAAAATCTAATTGAGGAAATTCATATTTATTTTTTCTTTTTTCGCGCCTGACCCCAAAGTGCACAGCAACAAAGATATTTCCCGACTCACGTGCGACTCCTTTTGGGCTCAAGTCATGTGCGTGGCCAATTTCGTGTTGCCTCACCCCTTCTCCTCCCCATTTCCTTAGGTTTTGCTTTCGGGCCGATAAGCGTGTTAATGGCTCATTAGCGGTCCCGACTGTAGATTTGTGTTTAGGCCAAAAGCTATTACACCAAATTGCTAAAAAATTAACGAGCTTTAAGCCGTGGCGGCGGCCTCTTAACTTTTGGGCGTGGGAGACACCTGTTTTAGCCCCTATCCCCCCTCTGCTCCTCCAAATTGCTGTGAAAGCCAATCGAACTTCTGATCAGCAGCAGCAGCAGCTGCCATTTGGGCCACAGCTTCCCAAAGATTCATAGCTGAACATCAATTGAATTGGTTTAAACGGGTTTCTCTTGTGGCAACAGGAAGTCGCAATGCTTTTTTATTTTTTTTTTTGACCAACCAACTGCTAATTGCAACTGAAAATGGGCTGAGAAATTTTGAATGAACAAAAAATCTCTTTAATCTGTTTCCATAGCGGAAAGATGACACGAAAGAATTTTAAAGATCGAAATGCTTAAGCGATGAGACTCGAAAACACTCGATAAATTAAGCTGAGCACTTGAAATGTGGCTCCCAAAATGAGAGATGATCAATGAGAAGTTTATTTTCATGGGGAAAATGCTGTCGAAGTAAGATCAATGGGTTCTGTGTGAAGATAGCCAAGTTTAATTGAAAGCTCAATTAATATTTGTTGATCTGTTAAAATAAATGTTTTATTAATGTAGATGGAAAGCTTGAGAAGTTTTAATTTTGGTATGATATATACAGATATAGAAATCGTTATATTTTTATATATTTTTACATATTTAAAAAAAAATTATAAATAAACCAAAAATATAATTAAAAATTTATAAAAATATTACAATTATAAATATATATATATACAGATAATGATAATTAAAAAAAATTTATGAAAATATAATTATAAATCTTTAAAAATATATATTTATAAATTTTTAATAGTTTTAAAACTTTATAATTATAGTTTTATATATTTTTGAATATTTGTACAATTATATATTCTACATATTTATATTTATATTATTTTTGATAAGTATATGTATTAATAATATTTGAATATTATTTTTGTATATTTATAAATATCTTAAGAAGTCCACTTCGAGTTTCTGTACCTACTCAGAAACACGAATTGCAAGATAACATTTCTTGATAGATTACCACGAGTTTTTTTTCTCAGATATTAACGCTTTGCCTGATATCCACACAAATATATTTCTCGATTCGTACTGTATGAATCTTTCCTCCAGTTGCTCGGTTGGCGATTTCAGCCAAGCATGACTCATCATTAAGAATTTTCTTTGGAAATTCTTGTAATGCCTTGCATTCCACTAACTGTATAAATCCAGTAATCAATTCCGCAACATTTACTGCGCTAAATATACATACATAAAACAGCACCAGGTTCTCACCACCCCACCCCGCCCTAAATATCCGACTCACATCTCATTCCATTTGTATTCTGATTTTATTTTCAATTGCGCAAAACGCTTTTTGTTTACATTCGCTTTGAATGCATCAAATGAAACATCATTTGAGGAAATTGTAGAGTATTTGAGCTGTGCCTCCCCGTCTACCCTTCCTTCGTACTCGTTTGGCAAATGGAAGCACTTAAGAATTTTGCAATTATCGACAAGAGTTGGCAGCCCCGCGCCGACAGCAATATCTTTGGCACTTACAATAACAATCGCAAAAACAACAACAACTAAGATCTATAAACTGTGCCTGCTACACTAAATACCCTTTGTTAGTTGGTGTGAAAGGGTATATTAGTTATGTGCCAAGGTATGCAACAGACTGATTGAGGCCTATGGGCAGCTTATATGTTCTTGATCAAAACGACAAGCTGAGTCAATCCGGCTATATTCTTCTATGCGAACCCGTCGATCTCTTAAACTTATTAATTCAAATTTATATTCTACCAGACAATACCCAGCATGAGCTTGCCTTGGTCTTTGGTATGTACAAACTTGTTGTGCCATATTTAAGCCCTGCCAAATTATATGAAGATCGGACTGTAAACACCGAAGTTAATCAAGAATGGGGTTTTTTTTATAGTTAGGGATATGCACACGTGTGTGTGTCTGTTAGCTTCTAGGTAGCTCGAAGACAGCTTGACGCTATGCCAGGGTATCCTCTAGTCGGGCACTGCCCACTTGCTGCAATCTTTGTTGTTGCTGCTGCTGCTGCTGGAGTCCCGATCTGTGTGCCAATATAGTTGACCTCCTTTTGATTTGTTTACAACCAGTGCTGTTAGGGCTAAAGGGGCAGGTAGGGGGACGGTAGGAAGGGGGTCGAGTTGTTTTCGTGGAAGGTGTAAAATGAAAAGCAAACCGTTTAGCTATGTGGCAGCTATCGATGTTGTATTGTTGTATTGTTTTGTGGCGCAATATTTGACCCACCTTTTGTTGAAAATTGTTACCCAGTTTCCATCGCCCCCCATCTCCCCCTCTCTCTCTCCTTGTGTCTGTCTTTGAAATTTTCACACATTTTCCGTTTTGTTTTGATTGCTTTTAATGTGCGTTTCGTTTTTGCCATTTGATTGATGTATGCGATATCATTATTGTTGTACATCATCATCATTATCATCATAATTAATAATCATTATTATTAACTTCATTTACCAAATAAATTTTTGTGGGCTCAACTTTTACTTTTTTTTTCCTTAGATAATTTTCCAACATTATATCTGGCAGCATAGTTGGCTATTTGACTTGAGGGATTTTTCCTGCAGTTATTGCAAATGTTTATTGTCGTTGTTGTTGTTATTGTTGTTGTTGTTGTTGCTGCTCCTTGGCATTTTAGTGTCAAAATATTGAACCCTCGCGAGTCTCTGTATCTCTCGCTCTCCTGTGTCTTAAC